ATCTGTAAAAGAGTCACCAAATTTTTATTCCACGTATCTTTTTCCTTTTTTTATCCATTTGACACCAAAATGCCACTTTACTCTGTTTAATAAAAAGTTTCTCACCTGAACGATATTTCTATCATTTTTTTAAAAAGAGAGAATTATTTGACGCCCAAGCAATAATAATATATGTAAATGTAAAATGATGATCAAAAAAAGAGTGCATGTATCAATTAACTATATCCCATGCTTTACGACAACATATAAACTGAAAGTAATTGAAATGACAAAAAAATAAAATAGTAACAACAACTAAAAAAAATCCAAAGATACCCCCCAAAAGTAAAAAGAAAGGCATTAGCCAAGAGTTATTTACGCAACATCAATAAGAGCAAAGGAAAAAATTAGTAGGAATAGTGTAAGGTACACATATACATCGATGTGGCAGAAAAAATGGTGTTACTTTTACTCATGCATTGCTTAATGTTAGTAATTTTCAGACGACTTTAACTTCCAGAGTAACTTCGCGTACATAGCCAGGGTAATAATAGAGAAAGTACATAGGCACACCTAGAAAATCCGAATTAATATACTATCTGAGGTTAATCATACACTCAACCATATAATATTTTTTTTTAATGGAAGAATGTTAGATTAAAAAAATTACATATTTCATTATACCTGAACCACATATGTTGTTATTGAAGAGGAAAGTATGACAAAAATGTCTAAATTGAGAATTAAATAAAGGAAAATCAAAATGAAAGATTACGTATGTTGTATTAAAACAATACCAATTTTGATATTTTTATATTAAGAGGAAAAAATAATCACTCTACCCTTTTTTGATGCTTTTCCGGTGGTTTTGTTTACCTAACACAACATAACAAAAATTTTATATGGGAAATATTTGCCATTTGATTGATCATATTTCCATATAAATAACACAGAAGTCCGAGGAGAAAAAATGGGAAGGGAAATTCATATCGTCTCAATGAAGTGTGAGACGATATTAGATTTATCTACATGTGTGCACATTTAGATCCAAACTATAAAATTCTTATTATGTATTTATTTTAATTCCATTACTTCTACACGAGCCTTCTCACCACATCGCTTCATCTAACTTTCCGAAAGGTTATTTTTGCTGTCCGGAATATCAGATGCTATAATATTCGTTAAATCCAGATCTAGGGGTACTACTTGCGGGAGCAATTCTACATTTATTGCTTGGTATGAGCTCTGCCCCTCCATATAGCTAACTTGAAAGCGAACTCGGCCACGAACTGGAAGGGTTCGGAAGCCATGCATTTCCACGTAGCTCTGGTGCACAAAAATATCACCTAGTTTGATCGGTACACACGTGTAGGACCTAACCGATTTCGTGGATGCGGAAGTAGTTGAGTCGGCGGAAGGAAAAGAAGTTGAAGATGCATCTGGGGGCATTTCCTCTAAGAGAGAATGGGGCTTGGGCTCAAGTTGCATGCAGGTGCCCACTTTAAGGAGTGAAGTAGAGAGAGTATCAGTCGGTCGGCCATCCCCAGCCGCGCCAGGGTCCATCTCGTTTGGCATAAAGCTTATTTCAGGGCTACTTTCAGTGGAGATGCCGTTTAGATCTGGTGCCTCTGTTGTCGATCTCTCAAGTTCCTTCACGGTCGTTGTGCTCCCCCCAAGTGCGGCATCTGTGGCTGAAAAGACTTGATGGGTCGCCGTCAGGAAGCCAAATCCGCGCACGGGGTTGTAGCGCTTCACGTAGCCCTCGTACAGGGAACCCGGGGTGTAGTTCAGGCCGTTAAGCCGTTTCTCCAGCTTCGGCAAGGGCTGCGGCGCGAGTGGCATTGCGAACATGGTGTTGGGGGCGCCAGGTAGCCCCGCGGGCTCCGCCACACACCCGCCGTAAAACGGCATGAGGACGTGAAGCATAGGGTCCACAAAGCCTACGGGGGGTGGGGGACAGGTCGTCTCTTTTGTAACCGGCCCAGTCTCCAGGCCGAGGCCGGGAGCCGTTCCTAAGTTAAGGCCCTGTCCTAGGTAGGGGGGGCCCTGTCCCCAGTACGAGGTATCCTGTCCCAAGTAAGGCGTGCCTTGTCCTAGTTGAGGAGTGCCTTGGCCTAGGTACGGTGTCGTCCCGCTCACTGGGGAGGTGAAGGGGTGGTGGTGCAGCACGGTGTAAGGGTCCATAAGAGGCTGGGGTAAGGTAAAGGCGTACATCATTCTTGTTACACGTTGTGGTAAAAAAAACGATGGTATAAAAAAGGAATGACCTCCTTTGTTTTACTTTCTTTTATTAATATTTTTTTTTGCTTAAGGTGATTTTTGTTAGTTTAGCTTTCACAGCCCCCTAATTTATCTTTTCCTTTTTGTATTATACACACAAGGTGAGTGTTTTTATCTAATGGGTGTAGTAATAAACAAAAAATAGATGAGAAAGATAACTTGGTGAAGATGAGCAAATCATACACCTATTTATCCATTCTTCATTAATCGTGTTCTTCAGTTTGGAAGGAGTTCATTGCCCTACCAAAAGAACCTAAATATAGGTTGAATCAAAATACCTTCGGTTTCGTTATTGTTTTATTATTTTCAATCCTACATAGTATAAAACGTTATATACGTTATTAAATTAAGCTTTATTCATGAAAAAGAATATATTTAAACAATCCTAGAAATGTAAAATAAATTTAATGTATCATATATATATATATATCACTATATTTAGTAATACATTTACGTTTCTGAACAATAACAAAGCAATCAGTAGTATCGGTACTTAGATTAATAAGTTAAAAAGGATAAAGAGATTCTTTTTCCTCAACACATTACGACAAATAATAGGATAAATCGGGAAACTAATGCAGCATCAGGAAATAAAATACCGGTAATTAAAATTCACTATTTTTGGACATACGGTGGATTTTAATGCTGAACAAAAAAAATAAGACTTTAAAATGTAGAAATCATGTTCCCGAATTGCTGAATTCCCCTCCGAAAACTCGAAAGGGTATCAATAATTTTTTTCATAAAAACAATATATAGTACATAAGATTGTACCAGCGCCATTGTATTAAGTAATGAAACAAGGACGCCAGAATACTTTTCAAGATTGTATTGTTATTTTAATATTACTCTTTATAAGCTTATGAAGCGAGGGTTTGTCATCTGGCTCCAGGGTAGAAGTACAACCTTCCAGATTTTAAGATTTCCATAACAACAACAAGATCGAGTCTCATGAGTTGATATGTAAATAGTGAATGTACACCTTAAAATACAAGCAAACATTGTGATGACTTGATTTACATTGATGAATATAGAAGTGCATCGTATGTTGATCAACTGACAAAGAAAAAAAAGGTATGAATAATGATAAAAAAAGGATAGTAACACGATCAGGTTGTTCCAATATTTATGCATAAGCATCAATGTAGAAAAAAACACGAAAATATATTGCAAAGACATCATCTTCACGAATAGCTGAGGAACTTTGTATTGCTAAATATCTCAAAAAATACGTGAAAGGAGTAAGGCCAATGTGTATAGGTTATTCTCGTAGATAAACTACGATAATTTTATAAAAAATTATTACACTTTTCCATCTTTTTTTTAAAACTAGATAACAAAAGAAGCAACATCAAAGAATGTTTTTATGTTTAAGTACATGATAAATTCAAAATTTGTTGTTCATTGTTAAGTTTATATTTTCACATTACCTCTTATTTCGGAAATAAGCAATGTATTTTTCTGTTAGTCACAGTTCATTTCTCACTTTGCACGGGTGACTGAAATCAAATCGAAAACAATTAACATAAATAAAGTGAAAATAGACAGGTGCAAGATTTCAGATTTATACACGCGTGGCAAAGATATGATTTGAAAAAAATAGCACGTGAAATCCTTTAAAGAGAATATATAAGTATATTCATTTGTAAAAGATAAAAAGCAACAAAAATTGCACCACTAGCGTACGCTAAGATGCCAAGATCACTATACTTTCATAAGTTCTACTATATTCATTTTTTTTTTGCCTTGAAATGTTTTTTTCGTGAGTTAGGTTTCACATGGTTAGTGTTGTAATCCACTTTACTTCCTAACACTGGTGAACGAAATCACTTCAACAGAGCATGAGTCACTTTTTTTGTGATGCGTTATACTATTATAGCCTATTACATGAGATACGTATTAATTATCCCTTTTCGATTTTTTCAAAATTAAAAATTAAATACCCTCAGATAATTTTCAGTGAAAAGAGATAAGCCAAAGCAAATTAAAATAAAAGTTAGAATGTACCTATATTTTTTCTCATTTTCTTGCAATCCAAAGCACGTCAGGGAAGCAAAAGAACAACCCTTTTAACTATGCAAACACATTATCAATATAGAAAATACTAAATATGAATAATTATGTTTTGGATGATTATGGCTGTGATGATGGAGGTAGTGCTTGGTTGAGTGTTACCTTTTCCCTCAAATTTTCTCTCAATAATGGTAAGCATTTGCAAAATGCGAAATATAAACGAAACAAACAAACAACAAAAAGGAGCTTGCTCAGGAATGTTTAAAAACACTCTAAAATGTTAATGAAACAATAATAAAGGGGAAAAAAGGATAGTATAAGAGGTAGATAACTTTTTCAAAAAACTTAGCTCTGTACTTTCAATCACTCTAAACTGGGGCATTCTCTTATCTCTCTGTTGTTCTTTCACTAATAGTTGCATCTGTGTGTTTTTCAATAACATTGAGAGGAGAAACAAACGCTGGAATAGCTGATGAGATGAAGAAAAAAAACAAATGCCTGTTAGGAATTAAAGAAAGAAGAAAATAATCTATTAAAGTGAATCAAAACCCAACATCATATTCTAATTATGCATAATATGCTCACTGATTCATTTAGATCAGAATAGTGACAGCAGACACCACTCATGTATAAAAAAAAATTATGAATAAACATAATCCCTGGCATCGTGAGTAAACTCCGACTAGAGAATATGCGCATTTCACTATTTTATTTATTGGATACTTAAATTTCCACACCTTTGCTCATTGTTTTTAAATCTGTAAGAAAAAGTAAATGTGCTTCTTTTCTCTAATTTTATTTTACCTATTAATAAGGTAAACCTTTCCCACACGCAAATAAACTGAAGCCGAAGTCAATATCATTGGTGTTAAAAATATTAACAATAGCCACAACGAAGTAGTTTTAATAATAATGATAATAATAGTATAAAGATGTATTATGGACAACATGGACGTGGTCATAAGATGACGAAATATCCCACCCATAAAAAAAAAACAAAAGTGAAGATAGATGGAAAGTAGGAAAAACTAAATCCAATGTGATATAAATATACATACATGTGTAATATTGTACATGTAAGAAGACTAAAAGATTTAAAGATGATGCCAAGACGAAAGAACGATCTCGAGGATGGAAAAGATCATAAAAAGACTGAAAAAAAGGCTTTCTGCATCTCAGCATGTATGCGTAAACTTGTAAAAATATAATTTGCTATCGGGAAGAGATTCATTTTTCACTCTCTTTCTCAATAGAAATAGTTTCTGTCAGTCTATATGAGCATCCTCACTCAATGTTATCATTGTCACAGTGGACAATTTGCTTCCTTCACCTTTGGTTCACGGAATCTCGTTTTTATTCAGATCCTGTGGTGGTGATTTTATTTGTCTTTCTTCGCTCCCTCCCAAGTAATGCCCTGAGGATTACCTCAGAGTAGTATGAATTAATAAGCGTTATTCATACTTTTCCAGTAAAGGTCTCAGGAAGGAAGTTATTACAAGAAAAGAAATTAATGAAGATAGCCTCTGTTTGAGTGCATATGCTACGGCGCATTGATGTTAGCTACGAACAGCTTGTCATCACATGGCTCGTTTAAAAAACAAATCATGTCTGTATTTTTTGGTGTGAGAAGACAGGTGAGGTCCGTATTGCAGGTGTTGGGGGATCCAGTGAGGGAACCCCGGTCCGTGCTGATACGTTCGGATTTAAGCGCCAGGACCATGTCCGAGGGATCGGCGTTGGGATGGCCGGAGGGCCGCGAAGGTGTCGTAAGAAGTGGAAGCTCCGAGCTCGCCCAGGAGGCATTGCTTTCACGTCTGCCCGGGGCGGCGTGGTGCGGCAGATCAGGCCTGATCGGCAAGGCCTCCAGCCTGGATGGAAGTGGGCTTCGGTGGGGCGGAGGGGTCTCCTCACGCTTCAGTACCCGGCCCGGACGCACCAAAAGCCGAACGTCAACCGCTTGCAGGCTTCCTGGGTATGTGCACTTATCGGCGCGGAAGTACACAGAGGCCCCAACGGTGAACTCTTGTGTGAATCCTTTGGAGCTGTCCATGCTCAGCGGGATTCGTATCTTTTGGTGATGGACGAAGATATCCCCAATGCGGACCGGTCTTCGAAAATAGCACACCCGGTGAATCTCCACCACTTCCTCGAGCGAGTCCGCGGGCGGGGTGTCCTCCTGCGGCCATTGCTCCCCCGCGTCCTTTGCGTTTAACGGGATTAGCCGGTGTGTGGCCGTCAGAAACCCAAACCCGCGCAGATGGCTATACCGCTTGACCCGTCCTTCATACTGCGTGTTTATAGCGTAGAGAAGACCATTCTTTCGCACGGAGCGCGGGCATGCCGTGAGGAGGTCCCCATTGCTGGGGCTGACCTCGACCGGGGGCTGGGAGGCGCAGGACTCCGCCGGGGCCTCACCCGGGCAGATAATTCGCGAAATCGATGAAATTTGCAAGGGGGCGTGGGTGTAGGCCGGTAGACGGCTTTGCGATGGCGGCATTTGCTGGAAGAGCCCCACCGGGATGGAGATCATCGGGGTGGGATCCACACACAACCCGGGTGCGAACACCGGCGCCCCGACGCTAGCGGCGGTAGGGGTAGCGCTGGCCATCATAATAGGGGTTGAGAGGGGCATCGACATCGGCATCCAATAGCGCTGCTTGGATAACATGGGGAAGGCGTGAAAAGGTTCTGTCTTTAAGGGTGTCAGTGTATCCTGTGACTGAGGGGACGACCAGACGTTGGAGCACAAATCAGCATTGCCATAGGTGAAATCCATCATAGTGTAGGTGACTGCTTGACGGGTTGTTAAATTAGAATCACAGCAAATATAGGTATCAATACTGGTCTATTTTCTTGTTATGAATTCTGAAAGTTTTTTTAAATATTCGGTCTTCTTACAGTATACACACACAAGCGCACACAGTTTTAGATTTCGTGATTCTCCACGGAACGAGCGAAAAGAATAAGTTTAAAATATAAATTGGAACCTTTCTCAGAAAACTGAAGAAATATGTAATAAGCGATAATATTATGATAATGATATCACTTATTGCTTGTATGCATTGAAGTTTGTGTAAAATTCAATAAACCAATTAAAGTAGAGAGATTAAGAGGAAAGAGGAGTGTACTATTGAGAATCATGTGTTTCGACGTATATCGCTTTACCGAACATATGAGGAAGCCCTTCCGACTACTGTAATCCTTCACAACAGTAAAATTCCACCGTACTATTGTAGTGCTTTCAGATCTCCATCTAGGGAGGAACTCAGAAGTCTAAAAGCAAATCATAATAGGTCATAAATAAATTTTTAAATATCCCAATTTAAGGAGAAAAAAATGTATTCATCAAAAAATGAAAGTGAAAAAAAGGAATCATAGATAGTATGTGTTATGGATGATTATGAAGTAATCATCATTCCAGTTGGGACCCCGTTCGGACGAACCGAGATATCATATCGGCAGCGCAGTGTTTACACATTATAACCCCACTCGTCGCATCTCGAGCTCGTCAGTCAAAAGCCACCTCTTCATCACGGTGACAGTAATGTAGAAAGCATCTTTCCTCATTGCCAGCTCTTTCCATTCCTGTAGTTCCACAGAAGCGGAGGGCCAGGGTTCTCGTAAGGCGTGCCACTTACCCACCAGCGCGGGGTGCTTCTTTTGGGCTCCCCCGAGCAGCTCGGTCAGCATATTGGTTTCCCGCTGTCATTGTTAGAGGACCCCATGGAGGTACACCAGGGATTGTGCCGGAAAGAAGGCTCGCACGACGCCAGTGTGGACTTGTGAAGTGCGTATCATTTCTATCAGTTTATTAGCTCTTGTCTTTTGTTTACAACCGCTGTCTTCGTTTTTGGACACAGCGCACATAGAGTCTAGATGTGCAGTGGCTCTTCTACTATTGAGTCGCGATGCTGTTGAATGAATTGGAGTAATTTTAGCTTCTCTTACTGAAGAACTTCAAGACGTTGCTTATCTTAGGGGTGCTTACTTTTAATGCCGCATCTTTTCATTGTTGAAGAAAGGTGTCTCTAGGGACTGCTTGGATTGACGGAGACGGTTTTTTTTCTTTTGAAAAGATTTTAACTTCGATGCATGGCCTCAGCGAAGCCCTGAAGTGTCGCCACGGTGTTAATATCATGATGCTGCAACATGTGCCCGATTTCAGCCTGAACCTACTTTTCCCTACCCCTTCCTTCTCTCACTTATGCAAGTGATGCGCTTTAAACTGTGCACAGTTGTCTCATTCACCTCTTCTTACTCTACTTCTTTATGTCCTTCCCATCCCTCTCCTCCCCCTGAAGCACACACAGACGGGGAAGACGGAAGTGTGTAAAGCTATTTTAACCCAAAGAAAGCAACAAGAAAAATAGAATGTAAAGAAACATTATCACAACTCCAAAGTGTAATTATTCCTTTTTCAAGTTTAATTGTTTCACCTTTACCATCTTTACAAGTTCGTGTGACAAAAGTATTCTCAGAAGTGCTCGGAAAATTTCAATGGAGATTTGAAGTCAGTCTTGCATTTCATATCATCTAGTAACAATATAACAGTGTTTATGGAATAAAATCACTAAAAAAAGAAGAAAATATACATTTTTATTTGGTGTCTTAGGAAAGGAGTTCCCTTTACAAACTTTTTTCCACGTGACAATGGAGGCACGACTCGCTTTAATGAAGATCATCAATGCAACGGGAGTCCAGCTATTGTGGTAAACATACTTCCCCTGTAATCAGGAATACATATCTAAAGATATAAAAAAAAAAAATCTAATGAATCTAAAGACGAAAAATTACATATTAAACCAACTCAACTTCATACCCCGAGCTATTTATTTCCACCGCCGGAAACAACGACCGAGCCATATCCACGTTTCGGAAGGCAATTCCACAGTCGATGCCATTCCATTCGTAGCGCAGGCAGCGTTCCTCCATCATCAACACGCAGCTAACCTTGTCGCCGATCTGTACGCCCCGCGCGCCCTGAACCTTAGCTGCCCGGGCCCACCCATCCAACGGCGTATCCACGAGACCCTGCACGGGTGCGAACCGACTGCCGCGGTGGAGCTGTAGATAATAGCAGCCCCCATATCGCGTGGAGTTCCGCGCGGGGCCGAAGCATTCCATCGGCAGTAATCGATCCGCGAAGCCGACGGCGATGCCCTGATCGTCCACAGACGGAGGCAGGGCGAGGATGCGGAGGGTAAAGCGATAGCAGAGGCCCGCCACCCCATTCCGTGGTCCCTCGCGCCGCTGACGAGCCGCGTGCAAGGCGCTGCTGATGGAGCCCAGCGCGGAGGCCCCGACGTCTTCGCGCGCTCCCGGGGCGAAAAGTGGCCTCACCAGCCGCCGCTCCCCCCC